TTGAAATCACCACTAACTATTTTTTAATTGTGTGAAATTTCATAATAAAACTTTTATGTTAGCTTGCGAATTTCTTAAATATAGTTTTAGCCGTTTAAAGTTTATGACATATAACAGTACGACAGTATACAACTCCTTGTGAACTCCCTAATTGAACCTTCCGTGTCTTATTTAGTCAAGTCTTTTTCGGTCTTCTTTTATATTGTAAGGAATTATTAGATAAACATTGTAGGGAAATTTGTCGGGGAAATATTTTTACAAGCGTAGGGAAAGGTGTAGATTTTATTATTGTTGAGTGGCGATTTTCCCAAAAAAATTATGTACCATCACTGGCACCACCTTTGTTCTCTACAACGGGGCTAAAACCGTGCCATTTTTGGTCTTATTTAACTACAAATGGTACCTAATTTTATTCAGCACAAGGTGCAAAAACGGCACTTTTGAAAAATAGTAATCAGTCTTATCATGAGTTTCATTTTCCCCGAACCGGCTCACTTTTCCCTTTTAGTTTCCATGCATTGGCAGAATATTTCAATACACTTTAATGAAATCTTTTCGCGTGTACTACTTTTCAGAAAGTAAAATTTTGTGGTTTCTAAAGTTTATTTTATTTGCCATTTGCACGTAGTTATTTTTTATTGCAAAATATGAAAGAAGGAAATAATCTGCCTTATCCTGAGTTTCGCCCGAAAAAAAGTTCACCCGAACATTTGTATTCTGCCTATAGCAAATACATGGAAACCAAAACTGAAAAGTGAACCGGTTCGGGGAAAATTAAACTCATGATAAGGCTAAATATCTTTTCAATTAAAAAGAAGGTACCTTATTTGGCGTTTTTTTTTCTATTTGGCAGTTTTGTATACCCAATATGGCACGTCATAGCTGGGGATATTTGGCAGCCATGTATGCAACGCAGCTCTTCGAAGAGTGTTTCTGTGATAAAAAAAAGCTTTTCATTAAAACCATGTACCGTTCGAAAGTAGTTAAGTCTACAGAGCTCTATATTTTTAGATGAGCGTGAAAACTTTCAGAGAACAAATTTTGTATTCAATTAACTTTATACGTATTTATTTACGAAACTTACGATTATGTATCTATTATTATAATTTCTTTCAGCGGATCCGAAATTCAGCGGACCTATAAATAATGTAACAGCTCCCGTTGGACGCGATGCGACACTCACGTGTATGGTACATGATCTTATGTCATTTAAGGTTAGATAATTTTTGGCTGTTTTCTTTTCTGATATTCATATACATTAGGATGCCCATCAAATTTTTTTTTTTAATTTCAAGACCCTACCCCCTAATTTCCTACCTTCTTATGAAAAATATTATTGCCTATTTTTATAGATTTTTCAAAAATCATTTAGAGGTACGCATATGTCATATAAGTGGGCGGTGCCGCCCCCTTTTTCCTAAAATTTCTTGAAAACCCACTTGCTCAATAGCGATTGTATATATCAATTTTGAATAAATGTTGATGAATTCCTTAGCCACACTTCTCAAAATATCTGAAAGTCCGGTGCATACACAATATAAATTCAAGGCCGTATTTAAGAAAAGTCGCACAACTTCGACAATTTTTATGCGATTGCAATAAATGAGCTATCAGTTTATTTGAAAATGGATTTAATTTTAGATAGTATTTAGTACATAGTTTGAAATTGTGGAAATAAGTGTGGTCAAAACTTAATTGACATTATTACCTTTTCAAAAGCGAAATAAAGCCAACAAAAATTTGGAAATAAAGTCATTGACGCTATTTCCTCATTCAAATGGAAATAGCGTCAACAATGCTTAAAGTATGTCGAATCATAGAAAAAAATGTTGTTCTTACAATAAACATTGCCGCGTAAGTGTTGTTTTTTAATAGATGACAAAAGTTATTGCCAAATCCTCAGTGTGGTGATATTAATCCACACACAATCATGAACTACCACCAAACAATTTTATTAAATTACGAATATGTAAAAACACGATGCGAAAAACTAAACGCAAAGCACAGCTTGAACACGAGAAATATTTGAAGAAAGAGTGTAGAAATGATCCAAAACTTGCAAAATATGTTTCGTTTCCACAAAAATAAAGCTAACACTATTGAACTGAAGCGCGGGATACGCGGGCTAAGCAAATTTAATGATTGAAAGAGCAATAATGTCAATGGATTTTATTTCACTTTTAAAAAGGTAATAATGTCAATTGACTTTATTTCGCACCAGGGTACTAAAATGACAAGTCGCGACCTCTAGATGATTTAAAAAAATCGATAAAAGCAGGCAATAATATTTCTCCTAAAAAGGAAGAAAATTAGGGGGTAAGGTCTTGAAATTTCAAAAAAAAGATTTTTCGATGGGCACCCTAATATACATATAGTACATATGTATGTATGTACTAGAGTCCAGCGCAAGTGTATTTGCCGCATTTCGTTCAATAAGTACTCCTTGCATTGTACTCTACTCCCAACACATTGTTACTCTTTTTCAGCATACATACCCTACTTGGCGTTGAGAGAGTAAATACTTGACGTACTTGCTATTACTCCACCAAAGTACGTACTCTACTTTCTCTCATCGCGTACGAGAGATATTTGCTGCTGCCAAAAGGGAGTAGCAAATCTACTCTCAGTATACTTGTAGTACGGTATGTACTTGCGTATTAAATTTCAATTCTGGTTGTTAGCCTACAGCCTACTAGTTGATATCGTTTTCAGCGCTGGTCAGTGAAATTGAAAGAGTAAAAATAGAATATGGAAAT